ATAATTTAATTCCTCAATCTTTCCTAATACTTCGTCCGAAATATACCAAAAATGACTGTCATTTACAGATCCGTTTAAAATAGTCTCTTTTTTGAAAGCCTCTAATCTCATTTTAAAACTTAACACAGTCCCACAATTCTTGACATCCGAGGGGAGTTTGTTCCAATATGGTCTCACCCTCTCCGGAAGAAAAGAACTGTGGACTTTCTTCATTTTACTGTTACTTTTACTGCATCTACTGTTTGATACCACATTAAGACCAGATCTGCTCATACTGAACAAACCAGCTCCGTAATTGGCCAAACCACTTATCATTTTAAAAGATTCAATGAGGTCCCCACGTATTCGCCGCTCTGCCAGCGTTGTTAAATTGAGGATTTCCAGTCGACGACTGTATGAAAGAGTACCCACCTCATCAATCAGACGGGTAAACCGCCTCTGGACGCTCTCCAGCTCCAAGATGATCCCCAACTTCCATGAGCCGCAACTGGACTCCACAATTGAACACAATACTCTAAATGGGGTCTTATCAAAGCTTTGTAAATGGATATCATCACAGATTTTTCCCTGATAATCAGATTTCTAACAATCCAACATATCATTCTGTTGGCTTTAGATATTGAAGCCTTAATCTGTTCATTCCAAAGCAGAGAGTTATGGGTTATAACTCCCAAGTCTTTTTCCTGTACAGATTCTGCCAATGTAACTCCATTAAGAGAATAACTTGATCTTGGGTTATCGTTAACATCTAAATGCATTACTGAACATTTAGTAGGATTAAACTTTAAAAGCCATTTACTCTCCCACATCTCTAGTTCATTCAGATCATTAACTATAATTTCATGCTCGGAGGCATTAGCTATAAGCTTAAGATCATCAGCAAATATTTTAACTTTACTTTTAATGTTATCTGGTAAATCATTAATAAATAACACAAATAGTAATGGTCCAAGGACTGATCCCTGGGGAACTCCTGACCATACAATCTTCCACTCTGAAGTTTCACCTTCTACACACACTCTCATAGTTCTATTTGAGATAAAATCTGTAATTACATCTAAAACTTTACCAGTTATCCCTAGACTCTCTAGCTTGTTAATCAAGCGATAATGGGGAACAGAATCGAAAGCTTTACTAAAATCAAAATAAAATAAGTCCACAGGAGCACCTTCATCTATTAAATTAAGTATAGTGTCGAAAGTCTCCAAAAGATTTGACAAACAAGATTTTCCTTTAACAAACCCATGTTGGTCCTTTGAAATACGGTCTTCTAAAAATTCTAACACATGGGATCTAACAAACTGTTCATAAACTTTACAAAGAATACAAGTAAGAGAAACTGGTCTATAGTTAAGAGGGTCAGACTTAGAGCCCTTTTTAAAAAGTGCAACTACAGATGCCGACTTCCATACCTCCGGAAGATTTCCAGTATCACTACAGGCACTAAATAATTTAGTAAGAGCTGTTACAAAACTAGCATCTCCAGCTAGGGACTTAAGCAGCTTTGGATGATGCCCATCTGGGCCAGTGCTTTTAAAAATATTAAGCTTTAATAGTTCCTTTTTAACCTTATCACAGGTAATAACAATATCAGATATACTATTAGTATTCTTACTAAAACTTCTAGGTAATGGGCCGAGTGGCTCATTAACAAACATCGAACTAAAGGCACTTGCAAGTACCTCTGCAGACTCCCCTGCACTAGTTGTCCTTGTACCGTCTTCCTTATCTAAACTTGGTACCGAAGCTTTAACCTTTCTCTTATTTCTCAAATAAGAATAAAATGATTTACAATTGATCTTTAAATTGGAAGTTATCTTCTTCTCATATCTTATCTTTGCTTTCACTTCATCATTCTCATATATGAGCTGTTTACTACTTTCATGACTAAGATTAACACTAGAAGGTTCAATATCAAATGCAGTCCATGCTTTATCTTTGTTCTTTCTCATGCGCTTCAATGAGGATGTGTCCCATGGCAGCTTCACAGGTCTGTTGTTGTTATAGACTGTACATTTCTCTGATGGTTGAGCATGAAAGTCTAATCAAGTTCACATCCTGCTCGTTAAGGTTACCCTAAAGATCTTGGGTACGAGAGAGAGTGTTGACAATGTTGGTCAGTCCGTTGTCATTGCTGTTTCCCAAGCTTTTACTAGCTCTGGTAAACTTGTCTCTGATAGCCTTCCCTTGAGGGCAGGAAGTGAGAAAGTGTGTTTCATCCTCTATGATCCCGGTTGATCCTTTCAGTTCACAAAAGGTGCAAGTTCTGCTCTCTGTGTTGTTGTATCTCCCAATTTCTATGCTGAGTCTGTGTGAACTGCACCTTATTTGAGCTGTTGATCTTCTGTCATCGAGAGTTCTTGCATAATCGAGGTAAGGCTCCCATGCAAAGACTGTTTTGACGTCCTTGTAGAAAGTGAGTTTCCTGCTCTCGTTAATCTTTGATCTCCAGGAGTCTGTAAACAGCTTTTGAAAGTTATTAACCCGCTCGTCTGGCCTGGAAGCGTCTGCACTCTGTAAAGAGACCAAGTTTTTAGGTGTTATTATTGACGAAAAGCTAAAATGGGATGTTCAAATAAGAGCCCTCAACTCGAAACTTAGATGTGAGATCGGAAGACTCAGTAGAATACGACATGTTATCCCGAAAAAACACCATAAAGAATTGTACCACACGTTATTTGAGTCTCACCTAAGATTTGGAATATCGGTATGGGGTGGGTCGAGTAACAATATGCTTCAACCTATCTTCATCACTCAGAAAAAATGTATCAGAATACTATTTGGTGACCTTGAAGCATATCTAGATAAGTTTAGAACATGTGCCAGAACACGTTGTATAGATGAACAAATCCTAGGAAGGGAATTCTTTAAAAAAGAGCATACAAAGCCGTTGTTTAACAAGAACGGCCTTCTTACCGTCCACAACCTGTACAAATACACATGTCTATTAGAACTGTTCAAAATTGTCAGATTAGAATCTCCAATCTCACTCCTATCTTTACTCCACAGATCATCATCACAAAGACGTTCAGACCAGTTCATCACCCCGAACCCATCCTCCTCTTTCATTTATCAATCAACAAAAATGTGGAACAACTGTCGAAAAATTGACAGTTTGATAAGCTTTACTAAGTCAACAAACTTAGTTAAAGTAACACTGAAAAGTGAGCTACTCAAGATACAGTCCAGGTACGAAGAATTAGAATGGACAGAATTAAACTTCGATAAGAATGAGCTTGTGTTTTAAAACAGAGTCCTTTGACTTGGTTATTTTAAAATTGAAGAATCTTTTGGCCACAACTCACTTCGTTCGCATTATAGATTCACATTCACTTTCACTTTCGCCATCACGCACAGTACAGGGTCATACCTCAATACCAAATTATTATAGGGCACAAGAACAAATTTGTTTACAATTATCAAAATTTGTTGAGCCCAGCAGCTTCCTTTCCTCTCTTCCCCCGTTGTCTGGAGTGTGTGATTTTTGTCGATGTCCGAGCTCTTATATTTATCATTAGTTTATGGTTAACTTTCTGTGATTGGACTCGGTATTTTCGTCCCGGCCGAGTGGGACGATGCTTGCTCGCCAGTTAAGCTTACTGCAGTAGATAACACTAATTTCTACAAACTGTAGAATATTAAATATAAAATGTGTCCAGTATGGCGCAAATGCATAATTTGATTATTTTTCGACGCTGTCGTCGGGGTGAGAGTTATCCGAAATAACTGCATGCCCCTACGATTGCGTCACCACTGGTGAGCAAGCATTTGTTTGTTGTTTAGTTGTGTTGAAAGGGAACATTACTTGATTAATTCATCCATTCGGATTTTAATAACGATGAGCTATGATATATTATATACCGTTCATCTAAGATTATTGGATCAATTTTATTATATGATAAGATTTTATAAACGAACTTGGCTCACAAAAGATTATAATGCGGAGGTTGGCTGGCTCTTTTATAATAAATACGACACTCCAATTTACAGAATGCTTGTTATAGAATAAAACAAATAAATATTATCAGACTATACATGCAGCATGAGTAACTGGTGGATAAGCCCTCGGTAAAAACGGATCCGGAAAAGTCATTGAGGCACTCGGGTCCTTGGTATTGTCGTCGGTATATTGTCCATTACCTACGTTCTGCTTTCATAGTTTAAACAATAGTGAGTTCTAAACATAAATATAACAGCTTTAAACCGACTAAGTATGAATGAATGAAATACCTGACAATCTACACTCCTATGAAAATTAAAAAAGCATGAGTAACTCGTAGTGATGTATGATTTCTAAAAACTTTAAATTAAATTTGGCGCTCACAGGTCCTCATGATCATGTGATCGCCGCATGTGGTTCTGTAAATGCGCAGGGCACCTTCGAGCTTATATTATTCACCTTACTGAGGCAGTCAACCAACGCGCGGCTTTATTTTGATGATATGATATGTTTTGATTGTTATTAATAAATACCAAAATTTAAATTTGTTTTCCTAAAAAATTTGTTTTCCTAACGCAGTTGCATTGAGTAGAAACGAATAGTTCCTTGCATATGCTCTAGGATCAATGTTGTTGAAGCACTTGATGATGTTTTCTATTCCAGAGTACCACGAAAGATGCATGTTGCAAGGCGTCATCTTCAGTGACATCAGCCTAAAAATTGTAAAAAGTTGGTAAACCCCAAAATTCCTTTAAAAATCTGAAAACTCTTAAAACAGATATAAAGTTAAAATTAAGATGTTAGGAGTATATTTATGTTCACGGACTTTCAAAGTTTTAGGGCTAGAATTATCAATAATTGACACATTAAAATGTTTGTTAAAATCCTCCCTTTGTCTTAAACCATGATCCAACAAAATATGCAAATGTAAGCCTCAAACATCACTTAAAATTTTATAATATTTGACCCTATGTTCTCCAGTCCTAACTAATATCCTATACTTGTTCAAAAGTGGTAGAAAATCATAAAACATTGACAATAACATGTTTGTTATATTTAGGTGTAATGAGATGGCTGAATACAGTAATCCACTCCGAAAATTCAAAGTTGTCTTCCTCGGCGAACAGAGTGGTATGTTTGATTACTAGATTAAGAATTAAGATATTAAGTTTTTGACTGAAAAGCATGTCGCTTACAAAATGTAACATTATGCTCGGACTGGTGTATATCATAATATTGATTTTGAATAATTTGTTACCTTATTGATAGATATCTTTACGTGTTTGATAATAATGTCTTATTAATATAATATGTAAATTAATATACGATTCAACTTAATTTCAGTTGGAAAAACCTCTCTAATAACAAGGTTTATGTACGACAGCTTTGACACCACTTATCAGGTACGCAAAACCAAGTTTTTCTGTTTTAAAATCTGATCAGCTTGCTCGAAAATCGTTTAAATATTTTATCAGAGCGTCTCATCAAATTAAGTACCGAATTAGATTTGTAACAGCCAGACCGCTTGTACTTTATCTAGTGTATGATATATTATGCTGTACATATTGTTATGCTATTGTTGTGTGATGATATCATTATGTTGTCATGTCCATCCAGGTTATGTAGAACTTACTTCTTCTATACTTGTGCCTTGTGGTCACTGGATACCTATCCGTACGCGTACCCAAAGGACAGATTTGCAGTTAGCCATCTTATAGATAACTAGACTCGGATTATTACAAAGTGGCAGCATTCATAGAATTCGACAAGTCGATATCGAGGATCAATTAAATTTAAACAAATTCTTTAATAAATAAATAAATAAAGTAAAACATTAAACTTATATATATATATTATATTCCTTTTATTTGTCACAACTAACACACCATGGTCCCACAAATTATGACCAGAAGCCACATCTATTGAATACCATTATATCGGCAGGCTACGATTGGTATTGACTTTCTGTCTAAGACGATGTACCTGGAAGACCGAACAGTAAGACTACAGTTGTGGGACACGGCGGGACAGGAGAGATTCAGGAGTCTTATCCCATCTTATATTCGGGACTCTACTGTTGCTGTCGTCGTATATGATATCACTAGTGAGTACTGAGTATACAATATAATAGTATAGGAATCATGTATTATATATACATTTTTATTACGACTATATGATGTATTATACATTATTATGCATTATTTAAATGTATTATTATTAGGAATAAATTATGTAACTTATACACATTATACACTGTGCCTCATTACGAGCAGCCCTTGCTGGAGCTATTCAATATTAAACACAAGTTTTATCTGTTAAAATACAAGCCACATGCCTCCATCAAGAGAAAAAACTCCAATAATAACCTCCTAAACTCAGATGCAAGTTCATTTCAACAAGTCAACAAGTGGATTGACGACGTGAGGACAGAACGTGGACACGATGTTATCATTATGTTGGTGGGCAATAAAACAGATCTCGCCGATAAACGGTCAGTCTACTTTCCTTAATCTACGTTTATTGAAGGATTATTGCATATTATCAAAGAGTACGGGTATATGACCCCCAGAATATAGGTCGTTTTTTGAGCACTTAGAAACAGGTGTTAAAACTACTTCTAAGCATGTTTAGGGCTGTAAATATGTACATAATAACCCTTTAAATGTTTCTTGGGTAGTTGAAAATAATTATTAGGTTTTTAAGTGTACTTTTTTTTCACCTGTAAAAATACCATTTTTTAACAGGGCCCCCAGAATATAGGTCCAAACATCTGTTCCTAAGTTGTTCTAAAATTGTCACAGACAGTTATATACAGTCAGAATATGTTGCTGAGACTGTATTGATGATGCCAATGGCTCCAGATACTAAATTGAAATGGTTTAAAGTATACTTAATAGCAAAAAATCAAAAACTACGGCCCCCAGAATATAGGTATGCAAAAATCGTCCTCAAATACTCCACCTTCATACATTTTGATGATGCCATCTCTTCAGCATATGTTCTTTAACTGTTTCTCATCACTACCCCACATTCCTTAATGCTCAGGGTGACAGAGAAAATGCAGAATCTTGGTCGCTATTTTTTTTTTTAAACCTATATTCTGGGGGCCATATACCCGTAATGAGTAAAATCTTTAATTTTACTAGTTAAAAAGCTTTCATGCACTCATTTAGTAGGGATCTTAACTAAATACTTAAATAAGATTGAAGGAGTGTCCCTAGATATGATTGAGGGGGGCTGTTTTATCTGTATCAATACAATGTGCACCTCAATGACTGTAAATCAGACATTTTTGGCCGCCAAATTTTTTTAAAGGCCTAACTCAAAATTCTGTCCCAAAACTTAAGGTCATGAGACAATTCTACGTTGATTCTGAAAATTTCATGTGAAAATATTGAAACCCTATTGAGTTCTATTGTTTTGAGCGAAGTCAGTTTGAGATATGGGCGATTTTGTTCATATTTTGCGATTATTTGAACACAGAATCCACAGTTAGGTAGATATTGAGCTGATAATCATAGAGAATGTATAATATATGCTTACCTTCCATATAAAGTTGGTTTCATTCAAAAATATTGATATTTGACCAATTTATGGACCAAAATCGATCAAATTTGGTGCGTATGCCCAAATATGGGCATATGGTTTTTGTTTTTATCCCATAACTCGGCCAATTTTTATCCAATTTTGATAAAACTTGATATGTGGGTTCAGGAGACTAGTAGCTACAAGTAGAGCATCCCAAAGCATGGTTTTGGGCATGTTCAGGGTTTTTGACCAACCTATATTCTGGGGGTCGTATAGACCTATATTCTGGGGGCCCGTAAAATTGTGGTGGCCATAACTTTTTTCCAAATTGTCAGTTTGCAGATGTCTCGATGAAAAGATAGCTTAAAATAATACTTATATACTCATACCAGTAGTCTTAATGGCATGTGTTGGACAGATTTTTGTCATGACAATTTTTCGCCATATTTACCCCTCTAGAATATGACAACATCGTTTAAATCTTTCGCTGTCATGACCAAATATACCAAAATACCTCATGTAGGTCCAAAATTTTTATCCAGAAACATTAGTTACATGTTTTACTCCAACCTAGCAGTAACAGATCCCATTAGTATCGCTTATCTTGGTTAGAACTGTATCCACTAACATGACCTATATTTTGGGGGCCACCTATATTCTGGGGGCCATATACCCGTACTTTCTTACAATTGCATGCGTTAAATAAAATATATAAATACTATTGAGTAAGAGGTATCAGGTATGGCAATCTTTGGCGAAAGATTTCAAATTTCAAATGGCCCAAGTTCTTAGGCCACTTATAATAGGCCAGGCTCAATGAAAAAATCTGGTGAGGCCGGTTTTAAGCTGTTTTATTGGGCATGAGATCATGCAGCAGCTTCTAGAAACTGAACTGTATCCAGTCTACGTTAGGACGGGGGGGGGGGGGTCTACGTTAGGACGGGGGGTCTATGTTAGGACGCACTTTGTAACTGCTCCAGGCTGGTGTAAAGTAGAATGATGTTGATAATAATATTTTATTTACTCGAGTTTAGATTTTACTGAACAAATTTGATTTTACATTTGATCGTATATATCCACCTACATGATCACATTATTTTCACCTGTTGTGAGTTGAGGTCCTGTCCGTAGCTCGTTAACTAATTATTTCAATATCACACCAACACGTCAGTCAAGTAACTAATAAAATAAGCGCACTGCTGCCAACCACGTTAAATGGGGGGGGGGGGGGGGGGGGGGACATTTAGCCGGATATTTCTTTAAAAATGTATTTCCTATATATCCTGAAATGCATATTTTTCGTCAAAAGTTGACTCAAAAACGTTGAAAAATTATGTTTATGTAATCATATTAATCAGGGTAGCATGAAACGTAAACAATAGTAGTTTCCAGAAAAACTTTGGAAACAATTTTGACTTGGTAAAAAGTTTTCGGTCCGAGTCATTCTCGAAACTTATCTCTAAAGGCAGGGCCCCCGCTTCCGAGCTCCTATTCCATAGAAGACTAGAGGCTTGCATTTCGAGATTGCATTACAAGGGGGAACCTTGGAGTCCAAAATCGTTTATCGAGGGGTGAGTGCGGACTTCGAAAAACTAAACAAATATTTTCGGCTCATAATAATCAGGGTAACATGAAACGTAAACAAAAGTGATTTATAGAAAAACATTCGAAAACACTCAGAAAATACGTTTCGGTCTCTGAAGGCAGGCTCTTCGCTTCCAAGCTCGGATTGCATGCTATCCGGAGGCATGCTTTCCGAGATTGATCGCAAAGGAGAAGCCTCGATATGTTATGAATATAATCATAAGCTCTTTTTAAAATAGGCTCCTTCCGATTGCGCAAAATATGCGCAAAAAATTTTCATAATATTTGTCCGCCAATGTTCGCTAATGTCCCAAAAAACACGTCCGTTGTCTCATAGAATCTAAAAAGGACAAGACATTGGCGGACATGTCCCCCTCCCCCCCCCCCCCCCCCCCCCTATAAAGAATTCTATTTACTGTCCGATAAATCGCGATCGGAAACATCAGAGTGCCGCAGATGATCAAATAAATGAAACCAGAAACGTTACGGTGAATGGACATTGAACAAAGAAATGTATACGTTAATTCCATGATGTTATCATTTTATCTTTCACGGCGGTGAAAACATCTGTTTTTTTGAAGAGCAACCTTTGTAAAGATTAATTTTGCATAATGCTGTGTAACTTTATTAATTGTAACTCTAAAAACAAAGAGAGTTCCCACCACACATCTGATTACGTACTGTTACTCCCTAGTCTTATCTTGCTCAATTTAAAGATGTTTTGATTGATCATGGAGTGGGCTAAGTTAAAGTTACGTTTCAACTCTACTCGCCAGTAAGCTTCTTTTTTCCAGTAGTCCTGATTATAACTTTTTGGGTTTAACATCAGGGGGGGAGGGAGGGGGAAGGGGGGTTGTCATATCTCGTGAGATGAAATCTAGAAGGGGTAAGAGTACTTCTTTACATTATACATCTCAGTTGTGGCTCTTCTGTTTTAACAAATTTTAGGCAAGTTTCCATAAACGATATTTTATGATCGGCGCCAATAATCGCTTATTGAGCGCTTTTTCGGCGCTTTTTTTTTTAAAAACCGTTTACAATCGCTTTTTTTACGATTATAAACGGTTCAAAAAAAATCGCTTATAATCGACTAATGAATTATGACATCAATTATAGTCGATTATAAGCGATTTTTTTTGAACCGTTTATAATCGTAAAAAAAGCGATTGTAAACGGTTTTTTTAAAAAAAAGCGCCGAAAAAGCGCTCAATAAGCGATTATTGGCGCCGATCATAAAATATCGTTTATGGAAACTTGCCAAATTTTATGTTTAAATTTCTTAGCTTTACCTCTAAATTCAAGGACGCAAACTGTTAGAAAAGAGTTTCATTAAGAGTTTTTGTTTCAGTGAAAAAGTTTAACTGTTTTTTTCACCCTCTCATTTACTTAGGGGGTTAACGAAATCCTCTTAAATCAATCTATGGTTAAAATTTAGAGAACAGTCTTGTCACCCTAACTGTATCTAATGTATAATCTGTAGTCTGTATTTGATAGTTTAAAATATAAGTAACGAATGTACAGCCTGTAGTCTGTATTTTATATATCAATGTATATATATATATAAGTAACTAATGTTTTTATTAGTTTTATGTATAAGTAAAATATCTCAGTCCTTTAGCTTTCTTAAAGACTTTATTAACCCATTTATGGTGTACTCACATGGAAACCCTTTACAAATACCAATATATGTACAGTACAAAATAGTGCAGTATTAATATATAGGATTTCTTAAAACATTAACCAATGAAACACAGGTTTGAACTATTATATATTGTATATATATATTATATTTATATATAATAGATATATATTATATATTATATGCTAGGGGACCACAAATCCCAGCCTCCAGTCAATTTCAAGCTTGTCCCTGATTACACAGCGATAAATATGATAGATCTATAGTGTTGTAATTACTTTAGACTGTATTATCGTTTATAGTAATCATATAACCATGCTGTAAGATCTCCTAAAATGGTAAAATGAAAACTGTCTGTGGTTTACAACTATTTATATACTTTAAGTACTGTAATATGACTTGTATACAACTTATTATGGGTATTGGGTGACTATTACATCACTGCATATCATGTAGTTCTCTCTATCAGGCGAGTAAATTGATTTTCTCTATCCATTCAGGTTATTACTTCATGGTTTTTGAAAATGATAATATATTATTGTAATGTTCGTGTTTTCAGACAAGTTCCAATTGACGAAGGGGAAAAGAAGTCCCAAGATCTTAACGTAATGTTTATAGAAACTAGTGCAAAAGCTGGTTATAACGTTAAACAGGTAACGAACATCAAACAGTTAAACGTTTTAATAAGTTTATTTGTTTATAAGGAATTCCTATAATGTGCATCAAGTGTATTGTTACACTCTATCCTGGAATACCCCCCCCCCCCCCCCGGCCCCCCCCCCCCCCTTCTACCTAGCTTTCAAAGTTACTCGCGGGTACGTTTCTCCCTCCCGATTCCCCTTCCTATGTACCTTGGCCGGGGGGGTGGTCTTGATTCCTTTTTGTATGAAATTTATTACTCTGAATTCTCACATAAATGACTCAGCTGTTCACACCAGTCTATGTAAACTTGGATAACTTTGTCACCTCTAATCGTTGTCCATCTAAGTGTTGCGTTTTATGAGCTTGGCTAGTTGGCCACAGAAATGGTATCATTTCTGAGAAACTGGAAGGAAATTTGTTGCACCTGTGGAATAGAACTCTCACCAGGTGCTGCATATTAAGTTATTTTCTTATCAGGTCACATAATATTACATATATAATCTTGAAAAATAAACCAAGTTATGTTAAAGTACACGCTACATATTGTCATAGTATTATTATACTGGTAATTTCATCTAGAATTCTTCACATTATGGAGCCAGGGTGTGGACACCTAGTCTAAACGTACATGGTACTCAATAAATGTATTTAATTGTAGTTGTGAAAATAGTTAAATTACAGTTTACACCATGTAACGGCTGATGTATACTTACATGTTTGTTTTACCGGTACTTTCAGTTATAAACTAGTTGCAACTACCAGTAGTAGGTTCTACAATAAAATCAACTTAGTAAGTGTAAAACTTTAAAATTAAGGTTTATAGCAACCTAGTATAAAGGTTAGGATCTAAAGGACGTGTCCTTGTGAACGTGGCATGTTGTCTGCATATTACTGTGGTTAATGTGGTTAGTGGCCTACATTCCACACTACATTCCACACTTTACATGTTTATTTTACCCAACTTTACAGTACAATCTAATTCATTGCGACGTACTTTTAATAAGTACAGTGTAAAGTACATAAGATGGGTGTATACTACTGAACTTTTAAGGTTGTTGTATGTATTCAGTAACGAAATATGGAGACAGTAAAACTTTAGACTGTACTGTTAAATGCAAACAGGTGGTTTATGTACTGTTGATAAAGGCGATATTGCGTTATCGTCATAATTCAGGCTTGGCGAAGACTGCTAAGTCTGCTTCGTGCATGATTACTATTTAGTACTGTTGATCAAATTAATAAAATCGAAATTGTATCAAATTGGATGCTTGCAAAAATCATACAGACAGTCATCTTTTGTACTGCATTAAAATTTCAAACAGACGGATTTAGAAATTCCCGTGCACAATGAATGATGTTTTCATCAAACACTCATAACATAACATAAGAAACTATTTACATTCAGTAAGGACATGTGCATGTCATCGGCTATTTGCTGCATATTGAAAATTCCATGGTGACACGAGATCATTTCTACCTAGTTCAGATAAACCTGTAACTTTTGTCTACCTATGAGAATTTTTTCTGTGAACCGACGTTTTGTATTTATTTACCATATTCAGTCCCTTATATACATCTATATAAATCTTGAATAGTGATGTAATTCTAACCGATTACTGGTAACACGTAATCCGATGGGACAGATCGAGGCGGATTTTCATGAATCATGGAACGCGCTATGTCTGAACATCTGGTATCGGAGCGACGTAATATTCGCCACGCGCGTTTCTGTCCTATGTTTCTAGAAATTAGACGCGACCCGAGCCTTTCAGATCCCACGTAATTCTATGTGACGTTTCAATGCTCATATTCTGTCATAACAACAGCTCTTCTATTCGATTGTTGCTATCGATTTTATCAAATCTTCTGCCAAAACAACATACATTGTGGCTAATTCCCTGGTATTTACCCGAAACACAAGCTCACGAGTTTCCGCTTGACTTGTAAGATAGTTCTATTAATAGAATATGCCAGGTCTCACCTCTCTTCCAACGCCAAGCCGTCAAATAGAATTCTGTGTACCCCGCGCTCTACCCGTGGTAATGCCTACGAATAAATAAGACATTTTCCCCGATAATTTCTGTGTATTGGACAGGTCACGTGGAACATGTGTAATGACACTACCAGACATTCATTATAAACATGATATCCGATAACTTATGATCACATGTTAATCATTAAATTAAATTATACGAATATATTAATATACTACTGTGTATAAATTCATTTTACTTGTTATTTATTAACTTATTTATATGTCATACTTGAAAGCCTGTGGTCACAGAAAGGGAGTTAATTTTTTTTGATAGACAGTTTTTATCGCATCAAAAAATAACCATCCTAACCGAAGATAAAGCCGATTTTTATGTAAAACAAGCTCAACACAACGTAACAATCACAAAACATCCAACAATCTTTGTGAGTGCACGTGTGCGTTCCACCATCGTTACGATATCTTTGTTAAGAAACTGTTTTTAAAGTCTATATGCGGAGCCTCATATCAGAGCAACCCCTAATCTATAGACTAGGGTAGGGGAATTTGGGGTGCTATTTGGGTTGGGCGAGGATTTAAAACTGCAGCTTCAAGTCCCTGAAGAACACCGCCTTTAACTCACCAGACTCACAGTCCGGACTTGTATCGTATGTTTCTCCACTGATACAAGTCACAGTGACACTCCCTCCCCCCGCACAGCGCACTGTCACACTTTCTCCAGACTCCAGTGGGAAATCAGTTCCAGCAAAGAGCACTTTCCAGTGGTCCGGATACTTGGCACATTTCTCTCCTGGGGGATAATCAGGATAATGATATTGTGATGATAACGCGGCCGTGTGAAAGTTATTGGAGCGACACAATGAACTTTAATCTGTTTTGTCTCTGAACTTACGAGGAGTTGAATTGTCGAAGACACCGAGATCCAATGATCCTCCGTAGTACCAAACTTGTGTTTTGATAGATTTTGTAGGTTTCCGACAGAATGCGTCGTTATCAGTGAAAGCCTGATCGTACAAAACTTGTCCCTTGTTCATGATGGTGATCCTATCGACTGTTTTCTCCATCCTGATTATCGTGATTAATTACATATGATTATCGTAATTAATTAGATATGATTATCGTAATTAATTAGATATGATTACCTGGTACCCGCTACGTGGTGACACAATGAAACGAGCTATTGTTTTCAGGCGTATTCCGCTCATATCGATTATGGATACTAAAAGTATGTTAAAAATATAAAGCAGCTATAGCAAAACTTGTACTCACACAATGATGATGTTTACCCCGTTAGATTCACATTTCATAGCACCGTCGTCCATGTTAAACCAAGTTCTCTCTCCACCGTAGTACTTCTTAGCGCCAGCACCATTACAGTAAACGTTTCCTCTTACCTAGTGGAGAATAGAGGCGAATGAAACGACGCTTTTCCCAAAACCGTAAAAACAAACCAAGCTGGCCCAAAAAAACTGAAAAAGAGTGCTAGCCGGGAAACCTTTGAGTTAAGCTCAATGTGGCCGTTCGCTTTATCCTGATCATCTCGGATGAAGAGCTTGAAATAGACGGATGTTTCGCAAGGGAGCCTGACGTAGAACCGCTCCACGGCTAAGTTTGAGAAGTCGGTGGGGACGATGGCTGGTTCCGAAACTGAGAAAGGTATCCAATCCACACCACTCGGCACTGTTAGTGTAAATATTTAATTAGTTCGTCGCTTAAATGAAGATTTTTATTGGCATATTTATTATTTATGGATAACGACACAAATACAATTAGAAAAGCCATGAAAGGTTATAGCAATTAGTTTTATGTATAAGTATTCCGCTCATATCGATTATGGATACTAAAAGTATGTTAAAAATATAAAGCAGCTATAGCAAAACTTGTACTCACACAATGATGATGTTTACCCCGTTAGATTCACATTTCATAGCACCGTCGTCCATGTTAAACCAAGTTCTCTCTCCACCGTAGTACTTCTTAGCGCCAGCACCATTACAGTAAACGTTTCCTCTTACCTAGTGGAGAATAGAGGCGAATGAAACGACGCTTTTCCCAAAACCGTAAAAACAAACCAAGCTGGCCCAAAAAAACTGAAAAAGAGTGCTAGCCGGGAAACCTTTGAGTTAAGCTCAATGTGGCCGTTCGCTTTATCCTGATCATCTCGGATGAAGAGCTTGAAATAGACGGATGTTTCGCAAGGGAGCCTGACGTAGAACCGCTCCACGGCCAAGTTTGAGAAGTCGGTGGGGACGATGGCTGGTTCCGAAACTGAGAAAGGTATCCAATCCACACCACTCGGCACTGTTAGTGTAAATAGTTAATTAGTTCGTCGCTTAAATGAAGATTTTTATTGGCATATTTATTATTTATGGATAACGACACAAATACAATTAGAAAAGCCATGAAAGGTTATAGCAAAAGTTAAAACTTTTTTTAAAAAAAATACTATTATAGTTTTTTGTAGATGGCCCCAGATTTGAATTAGTTCACTGATTTAAGGGGTTAGGTGCTTTCATTAAATATAATTCATAAAATTCTATGAATTTTCTTACCGAAAACATTTGCGAGGGAAAGCTGTACCATCATAATCAAACTTATTGTCAGTTTGATAATTAATATCAATACCATCTTATACCTGCATGTCAACAGTAATACAATTAATAAAAAATGTATTTTTTAATGGACAAAATCATAAGCCAATAATATTTCAGACAAATATGCTATTGGGTGTGTAATATCCGGATCGGAACATTCTTTAAATACTATAGGGTGGTACAACCTCGCCGGCCGTAATAACTGAGCTCTGTGATAAAGAGTAATAAAAACAACCCGTCAGCTAACTGTACTATCTACAATTTATAAATTTGAATTTGAATAGAAATGGGAATACTAAGCTATAATTATCTGCACCGCTTTGTTGGCCAGTATCAACCCCACTTTGGGGATTTTGGTCGCTTTAACGGCCTAAGCGGTATACAAATAAAGCGTTATTATTATTATTATTGTTGCTACCGACTT